GCTCAACAAATTATAATGGAATTGAAATTGAGTGCACCTTCCAAAACTCAGCTTGTCATTTCTGAGGAGTGGCACTGTTTTAACACATTGTCTTTTCAAAAATACCTATAATGAAAGATATAGAGTGATATATAGTGGATGCGGGTGGTAAAAGGTGCAATGCTTTACAGAAAAGGATGAAAATTTTCTCAAGGCATGAAAAAAAAAAAATGGGAGAAAATGATGTTCAGATGCCACCATAATTTAAAGAATCAATCTTTGGGGTTCACAGCTGGTAGTGTTCATTAGAAGTCATCAGCACCACGTTCTAATTAAAGCACTCCAGAATGCTGCATGAGGGTTCGGAAAGTGGTCAAGTCATAAGACGGCCCAACCCCAATTCTTCTTTCTGTATCACATTCATCAAGTTAAGGGAACTATCACAGAACAGCTCTCAGGTGAAGGCACCTTTCAGTAAAGAGAAATAGTTCTTCGCATTCCACAATGAAAGAAGCTCAAGAGATTTTATATTGCTTATGGAAAAAAAAAGTACAAAGAAGTTTAATTTTATTGTAGGTTGGTATTAAACACACAGGTTTTCTTCCTATGATTTGAACCGCCCAAAATGATCAATAGGGCAATTTTTGGAGGTATACATTTTCTATCTTGGACCTAATCACAATGAAAATAACCTAGAAATCTGACTTCAATATTTCCTAATAGCTAGTCCTAGCAGGTATCCGGACCTTTGCCCTCTGATTTCAAAGGGCTGCTGTAACTAATGTTTCCACCATTAAAAAGGAGAGATTTACTCTGCTTGATCACTGAAAGAATCATTCACCTTGAAAAGAAAAATGAGGGAAATAACTTAAGCTCTCCAGACCTACAGTTTTAAGAAGCTCTGTACTGTTGAAAATGGAAGACAAATGAAATTTTATGAGGCTGCTAGCTAAAAGAAGCCTGTCTGACATATCGAGGGAAAAAGCCACAGACTGGCCAGGGAAAGAAGGAACGGCACGTCTCCCACTCACAGGCTCTGCTCAATTCTAACCATTAGCAGAAAAAACTCCAAAAAGCAAATTAAACAAAAAGGAGGGTGTGAAGGAACAGTGAGCTCCCAACAAAAGACCCCTCCAAGAGCAGGGATCGCCTGTCCAGACCAAAAGGGGGTTTTCTTGTCACAAGTCATCTTCCTAGTAAGTCTTTATTACTCCTTCTTCAACACTCCCGGCATTGTCCAAACCACACTAAGCCAAGACACACTGCTAAATATATAGGGGATTCTAAAGACAATACACCCAATGCTCTGACTATTTGCAACAGGGAAATAAGGAAGGGTTGGATCTCGAAAGACAGGGGAATGATTCTGTTCATCAGAACAAGCTTTCCAAGGTAGGTCTCTGGTCCAGAACCACAGCAGGAAGGTGCCCAGCCCAGAAGATAAGGGCTGTGTCCCACCTTTCTCCGACTTTACTCAGGCTCCCTGCAAGTACATCCAAAGCTCCTGACTAATTTAAAAGTCAACGCCACCTCAAGTTGATCCCTATTATTCTAGTTTCCATAATATTAATGCATCCCAATTTCTACGACATTAACGTAGAACATCTTGGCGGGCCCACGTCCTGAGCCTCTGTGTTATGATGTTTATTTCAAATGAATTACAGTGCAACTTTGCATTTCTGTAACATGACTAAGGGTTTGATTTTCACAGCCTTTGAAGCACGTGGGCAACAACAGAATCAGGTGGGAACAAGCCCCCAACGCTCAAGTCACGATGCTGTGAACTTCCAGCTCTTTCTTTGTGTCTTGCTTTGAAAATCTGCTCACTCCACAACACACATTAGATGTAAAATTCATCCTCTCGTGGAGCCCATAATCTGCTTAACCAGCTTTCAAGTAGTCCAGTCACATCGCGATACAGTGCTGGGAAGCCACTGTGGCTCACTCGGCGGCTCTCTGCACAGCATGCCAACAGGCGCCAGGCCCTTCTCCTTGCCCAGGTCAGAGCAGAACATCCAAGGTGGGTTCAAGACACCCGCGGGAGCTCAGCCCCACCCTCCCTCCTCAGCTTCCTTTCTGAAACAAGGCCATTCAGTCTGGGATTGCCAGCGGCACCTGCAAAGACGCCTACCTGGGAGGAGAGCAGAGCTAACAAGACAGACCACAGCACCGACAGGGAACTGATAACCCTTCCCCAGCTGAGGCAGCGGAGGCAGAAGCATTTCCCAGGTCCTGACTCAGAGGGAGCAGCTAGCACGCCTGTGAGCAGACGGGCAGCGAGGAGAGAGGCCACCAGGTCGCACAGCTGGGGCCAGACAAGCACCTGCACCGGCTGAAGGACGCCGCTCCTCGGTGTCCACATCTTTGAAGGGGACAGACAGGGACAGCAGGGAAAGCAAGGCTGCAGCAGCCGGGCAGTGTGAGCCCAGTCCCCGCTAGGGGCTGCAGGAAGACGTCTCTGCGGAGCAACAAGCCCGTTCTGAATCGACCCGCCTTGCAGGGAAGACCAGCTGGCCACGCGCACCTGGGCTCCACGCCCCAGACTGTGGAGGGGAGGGCGGCGAAATGCAACGCATTCCACTAGAGCAAAGCAGTGGGGTGTGCCTTCTACAAGAGACGCAACACACCCCGAGAAGCATAAAGCACGGGACCTCGCAGTACCCAGGGACCCCCAGAAAGAAACCTGGGAAGCCCTGCCTGACGCCTGACACCGTCCCCGCGCGAGCGCTGGCCAAGCCTCGGCGCATGCAGCAGGAAGCACAGTGGGATCTCTCTCCGGCGGGCTCTAAAATCCTGGCCGTGTGGGAGTGCGTGGGACCGACCTCACTCTGTCACGAAGGAGGCCACCGCCACCAACATGTTTTACAAACGAACAAGAAGTGAACAAGTCAAGAAAATAGTGGCCATCGCACCTCATCAGAAAGCGGCCAGGCTTTAAATATTTATGCCAAATGTGGCAAGAATACTCTGCAAAGGTAATGACATCTGTGTTTGAACGGACCTAGAAAAGATTGCCACTCTAAGCTTTCCTGACAGGACCGGAAGGTGGTAGCGGCTGCTTTGAAGAGGTCGGAGTTTTGCAGATCAGGTCCTCTCCCCCACAGGCCGTGAGTGGGACCACCCCTGCTCCACGTGGCCGGCCACTGAGCTCTGGGAGACCGTCCGGCCAGCAGCCTGGGCTCCTCTGGACAATCCGGGCAGCCCGAATCGGACAGGACGCTCCGGCGAGGACACTCCGGCTAGTGGGGCTGCTTCATTTTCCACCAGGACTCTGCACTCAGGTATTTCACATAACCTCACCCACAGTGTTGGGCACAACTTGCTATGAAGATCAAATTCCTGACATTGTACTTTAAAAGATACTAGAGCAATTATTCCAAACTACCGTATGTCCTGGTAACTTCTTACTAAAAAAAAAGCTAAGAATTTATTTCTTTATGCTTTCTTCCATAACTGGACTTCAGTTTTTAATTAAAAAGAGTTGTCAAACAAGAGTGAAACAGAAATGGGCACAGAGAAGAGCAAGAGAAACATAATCACCAAATACCACGCTTGTTCCATTTGTAATAAATTGGCAGGTACACTTGACACTTTTAATTAGCTAGAGAAATGACTCTAAAATTTACTAGAAGAAAACGTTTTTTTGAAATATATTTTAAAGGAATTTCTAAACATTTTAATTGAATCTGTCATGGCCTAAGTGCTCACGAAAGCACTGAGTCACGTGCAGGTTTGTAAAAGCGCAGTATGAAAGTGCCTTCAAGGTCTTTCTAAATCACACTCAATGACGTTCCACATAACCAACCCACTGACAGTCGCTGCTTTGGCAGCAGGCAGCTCACTGACGGAGGCGGCAGCGTGTGTGTCCTCCGGCGCATGGCTGGGAAAGAGGACGACGGTCGCCTGGCCCAGGGCCCAAGGCAGCGAAGCCTTCCGGGGAAGGAATAACAAAGCGAGGTCACCTCCGTCACCTCCGTCTCCCAGCCCGACGTGGGCCCTGCGCGCCCCAGGCCCCAGAGAGAAGGTGGAACACGGCTCAGAGGCCAAAGCGCCCCGAGGTGACTTTCTTTTTTGAAAACGGGAAACAGGTTCCTGGCCCCGAGCGAGGCGTGCACAGGGAGGCTGAGGAAAGCCACCTGCTTCGTGAGAGCGTGTTCTCCGAGGACCCCGCCTCGATGAAGCCCTAGCATTTCCACTGAACACGCCGTTGCCATCAGGGTAAGGCCGGCGCGGCCGACAGGCAAAGCAGGCCGAGAGCAGAGCCGGCCCGTAGACACAGGCTCCGCCCGCCGCAGGCAGGGGCGACGGCGGGGACAAAGAGCCGGTCCGGCCGGGGCGCCGGGGCCCGCGGGCCTGGGGGCGCGTCGCCAGCACCAGACAAGGACAAAGAAGATGAAGGGAGCAGCCCAACTTCTGGACACAGTGGAGTAGAATAAATCTGCTCTGATCACAAGGTCACTCCACAGTTTCACATCCGCATTCAGAAGAGGACGGCTGTGGAGTAACGCAAAGGTCTTATGCTTTCGAGAAAACCCGACCGGTGTGGGTACTCATCCAGTCTGTCCCAACAGAAAGGGAATGATTAGTAAAAAGGGAGGGAGGCGATGTGGAGAAAGCCGATGTTTCCCTGGCTAAAGTAGAGGAAGCATTAAAACACTCAGCAGTTTAGAGCAAGGAGTGCAGAAACCCGTCCAGCATCCGACGGAGGTATTGCTTCGAAACTTAAAGAAAACTTGAAATTTTTCTCTGCAATCACCTCAATGGAAGCAAATGATTGCCTCCCCAGGAGAGACAATCACACTCCAAGCCTACAATGTATGCTGATTGCCCCGGCCCTCACTCCTCGACTGCCGGCTAGGAGGCGGCGCCTTCATTCCCAGGGCCTGCCGCCCGCTCTGCCAGTCGCAGCCTCCCGGCTGCGCCCTCCACACCGCTCAGCCCAGCAGACAGTGCGGAAGGGGCCGATCTAGCCTCGACGGGCGGCGGCGATGGACAGCGCCATGGCCGCGGGCCCCACTCACCGTGCTGTGTGAAGAGGTCACTGTGAATGATCTCGATCAGGCAGTACAGCTTCTGGATGGTCAGCAATCCCGTGGGGACGTTGAGGATGAAATCAGTGAACATTTTACTGTGAGAAAAGCACAAGGGGAAGATCTCAGGGCTATCCAGCAACATGGCCCTGTTTCACCGGACACTGGACGCTGGTGGCAGCCAGTGTCTGAAGCAAGGACACTCTAAAATGCTATTTTTCACGTGGCACCCGCTGAAGTGGCCATGATCCACGGGGCAGGGTAGTGAGCAGGGCTTAGTTATGCAGCGAGCAGAACTCATGCAGGCCAGGCAGGGGGCGCTGGCCGGGAGCTGGACAGCGCGACCTCGGTAGGCCGGACCCTCGGACCCCGGGCGCCCCCACCCTGCGCAAGCAGACACCATGGAGGCCCGGTGTGCACGTGAGCCAGGAGCCAACCTCCGTGACACTGAGCGCGCCACACGCCGCATGTGCGCACCAGGGAGGCTGCAAGCAGGCGGCCACGCATCGAGGCCACTTACGGAGGGAAGTGCGGGCCAGGTTGAAGCAGGGAGACCCGTGAAAACACAGCTCCCAGGAGCAGCAGAACCGACACCCCCTGCCCCGCAGCGTGGGCCAGAGAGGCCAGGATCGGCCCATCAGCCACTGCAAACACAGGTTGGGGGAGGGGCCAAGGGCGGGGCGGAAACGGCTGTGAGGACCCCAGGTGACCCCACCCTGAGGAACACCTAACACTGAGTAATGCTCGAAGGCAGAGCTGCTGAAAACCATGCAACTGAACTTTCAAGCTGGTGAACAGTTTGCTATGTGAATTATGTCTCAGCAGAGGTGTTTTTATAAAGGGACACTTCGGACAAATGGCCACAGGCTCCCGCAGGAGCGTGGGAAGAGCCGCCTCACCGGTGGCCCAGGAACGCGGCGGGAGCGGGGCCCCTCCGCACGGCACCGCGAGGTGGGCTCCTCCGCTCAGTCTGAGGGCCAAGCGGCGCGAACCCCTCGGCCAGGAGCCAGGGGCACCCTGCGGCCCTCCGTCGCGGCGGCAGGGACACCCCGGGGAGCCTCTCCGCAGCGTCCTTACCTGAGCTCTTTGGGGTCAAACACCAGTTTCACATCATTGACGATGGCTGGCAGGTACTTGAGCGCCGCCCCCTGCAAAGCGGAACACAGGGCACGCTGAGCGAGCGCAGTCTGGCAAGTAGGAGAGGGGCGGCGGACGCCCTGGGCGGGCGGGGCGGGGCCAAGGACTGTGCCAAGGCCTCGCGCACCGACCGAGGCACCGACACCATCAGCTTCAGGTGGATCACAGGTCCCACGTGAGGCTTAAAGCCGCCACACTCAGAAGATGCCCAGGACTGGGGCTAAGCAGACTGCTTAGGTGTGACCCCGAAGTATACGCTGAAAAAGTAAAAGCGATACACTGCATCTCACGCACCAAGAGCCCTCTGCCCTGTGAGAGGGAGGACGGACAGGAGCCCGGGTGGGGGACCTCACAGGTGAGCAGGACGCTGCCACAGAGAACTCTCAGACGCCGCGGGAAGGCGCCCCCCACACCCGCAAAAACAAGCCACACGATTTAAAGAGACACCTGCGCCGGCCGGCACGGGCGGCCCACCAGCACCTGGACGGCGCTCAGCGTCAGCAGCGGGACGCGCCAACAACGGAGCGGGGGCACGGGCGGCCGCGGGGCCACGGGGGCACGGCGGCCAGAGAGTCTGAAGCAGGCAAACCTGCCGATGCCCAGCGCCAGCTGGCTGGGCGCAGCCCAGTGCGGCCACCGGAGACTGCCGAGGGTGAGGACGAGGCCCGCCAGCCCCTGGGACCTGTGCTCTGCCGGGGGCTGGGCACGGCCAGAGTCCCCAGCCCTCGTTACAGTGACACCCAGGGCGGGGGCCACAGCGGCCCCAGAATGCTGACTCTCATGTGGAGGGTGGACAGGGGTCTCCCAGCCCTCCAGCTGCCTCTGGGGCAAGCCCAGCCACCAAACTCACATCAGACATATTAGCTGGAGAGGAACCAACTAGGGAGAAGCTACCTACAGCTGGAGTCTAAGCAAATGGGGTAAAAGGAGATGCGCCCCTGACCCAATAAGGGGGCGCCCTCCTGCTGCAAAGCCACAGAGCCAAGCACGGGCTTCCTAGGGACCCCAGGCCCCTCCTCACGAGACACAGGATGCCTCCCGCCTCTGCTCTAGGCTCTGTGCGGTGACAACGGTCATTTGCAAATTTCCACTTAAAGGATAAAGAGAGAACAGAACAATCACCAGCCACAGAAGTCAGAATTATTCTTTCTGTATTTCACAACTGAGTTCTGTCTGGACAGAAGCTGCTCAGAATACGCGCAGCTCCTGGGAAGGTTCGGAGCGGGGGACACTCCCTCCTGACCCTGGCTGGTCCCTGTGGACGGCGGCGGGCGCCCACTGACGCCTAGGGTGGGGTGGGATCGACAGGCCTGCGGGCTGTGCCAGGACACGGCCTGAGCCGGGGAGTGGCGGGGGGAGGGCTTCCTCCAGCCCTCCCGGGAGGCCCCTCTGCCCAGGGGGCCATCTGCCCCGCCTCCCGGCAGGGCCTAGTCAGACACAAAGGAGCACACACAGGATTCTAGGCGGATTCGCTGCTGTTAGCTACGTCCCTTCCTTCTCCTGTTTTTCAAGCCATAGTTGAATGCCTCAAAGCCATGTTTGCTTAAGAAAGTTACTTCAGGTTTGACTTGAAACCTGGCTGGATTAACAAAATGGCAGCCAAAGCCCCAGCCTGCGTTTGCTTTGAACTTGGTGAAGCCTCCTCTGCCACCCTAGGGCGAACGGGCCCCCGGCGGGGGGCGCCGCAGCCACACCCCAGCAGCCTGCACACTGAGGCACGGAAAGGCCCGGGCAGCACAGGGAGCCACGCGGAGGCTTGTCCTGCTCGGAGACAGCCCCGCTGGGCCCTCCTCGGCCGGCCGCCAGCTCGGGACACTCAGGCGGCCCCACTCCCGGGGACGGCGGGGTACGAGGCGAAGGGACAGAGACAGGTCGACACCCACTTTAGAGGGGATCAGAGAAGTGGCAGGAACGGGCCGCAGGTGCCAGGCGTTTTCTAACTGCTGAAACAGTTCGGGTTGGAGAAGTTAAGTGAACACGGCGCTGTCCTGGAAGCGCATTTGACTGCGCGCTTCTCGCGAGAAAGCCGGCCTGGCCCGCAGCGCGCCAGTGTCGCTGGCTAAAAATATGACTACTGATGAGGATTAATAGACACTATTTTAGGGTAAAGTTCAGGCTACATTATTCAGTATAATTATTTTAATTAAATCCATTAGCATACCTTTATATAAGATTACAAGAGCTATCAGTGATACAAAATAAGTTTTTCTTGAATAATGTATGAAGCAATTATTAATTTACATATTTCTTGAGAAAACGCGTATTAAAATGATTCCTTTCGCAGGATTTGAGCTAAAACGCATACGGGCCCGAGTCCTCATGCAGGCGTCCGGCGCGCCCCATCTTTGGCAGTCGGGGTCCCCTCCCAGCACAGGGAGCAGGGGAGAGTCGCTGCCGGCCGGGCCTCGCGGTGCGTGCCGCACGGGCCCAGAGCCAGAGAAAGATGGCGGCGGGCACCGGCGTGACACGGAGACGGCCGGTGTGTCCTCTCGCCGAGCTCCGCGCCAGGCTCTCTTCGGGCTTGGACGCTGCTCCCAGCCTGCAGGCCCTGCCGCCCGCGGGGCCCGTCCCCCCAGCTCTGCGGGTTGTCCCATCGCTCACACCACACACCCTAATCCGAAAGACCAACAAGAAAGCGCAAACTGGCTACGAGCGCAGCGAGCCCCGGCTAGCTCCCCCGCTGCTGAGGCATCTGGCGCGGGACTCACGGGTGGCACAGGGCTGCACGCCCGTCACTGTGCAAGGGCAGGCCGCGGGGTGTCACCTCACAACCCCACAGAAGTCAGGAAACGGCAGCCGCAAAGGCAATCACGACGGGGGCGCGCGAGAAGCGGACTCGCCGGAGGACGCAGCTGCTGCTGCACTGCGGGGGCGTGGGGGGGGCAAAGAGCGAGAAGCAGAACCTCAGAGGCATGTGCCCCCCACGTTCTGCCGAGAGTGTTCACAGCAGCCAAGAGGTGGAAGCGCCCAGGAGCGCGGGGTGGGCGAGTGGCGAGGGAAAGTGGGTTCTCACCCAGGGAAGGCCATTCACCTGCAGGGAGGGAATTCCGGCCAGGCTTAGCCCTGACCTGAGGGCGGGAAGCGGGGGACATCAGCCAACACCCAGACGCCCCGATTCCGCGCACAGGGCCGGGCGTAGTAAGATAGGGGTGCGGGGGCAGGGAGTCGTCATTTCGGGTGAGCAGGGTTTCAGTTCCCCCGGAGGAGACAGGTCTGGCTCCTGCTTCGCAGTGACGTGAAGACGATTATCAGCACTTGCGGGCCGGCCAGGGACGAGCAGCTCGTCACAGGAGCAGGCCGCCGGTGAGCGCGGGCTGGGGCTGCACAGGGCCGGCCCGCCCTCCGGGAGAAGGCCCGGGGCGAGATGCCAGAAGCCGCCTGCCCCGGGGCCGCCCGCGGCCCGCCGTCCCTGCCACAGCCCACAAAGCCGCTGGCGGCCCAAACAGCTTCTGGCTGAGACGCACGGGCCACACTGCAGGTCGCACCCCCACGCGGCTGGGGCTCAGGGGGTCCCGGTGGGCCCTCAGCCCTGGGCCCCTGGCCACCCGGCCTGACCGAGCGGAGCGAGCGGACAGACGCACACGGGCCAGGGGTCACTGAGCTGGACCCCACACCCCGGCCTGACTTTCCGGGCCGGGGGCTGCGCTCTGCCGCCCACCGCCACCCCCAGCGAGCCCCCATTGGAGGAGGGCACGCGGGTGCCTGCCCCTGCTCGCCCCTGGCTCCCCAAAAGGCTGGGCAGGACCCGTCGAGGGCAGAGTGATGCCTGAGAGCGGCAGCAGGGACGCCTGCCCTACTCAGGGCGAGGGCAGCACCTCTCGGGGCGGGAACAGCCGCAGCTGCAGCCGCGTGGTCAGGGCGTCCGGAGAGGGACGCAGCCCAGCTGGCTGAGGCTGGATCAGTCACGCTCGGCAGGGGCATCACGGTGACCCCAGCAGCGACAGCACTGAGTCAGTTGTGCTGCTGGGCCTGTTCACTCTGTGGGGCGGGAGGGGTTTGGGGTTGGGGGTCTCATCCTCTGAGCGGCGCCGGCCTCCCGGCGGGTTCAAGTGGGTTACGGCCTCCACAGCTTGCAGGAGCAGAGCCTGGCTTCCCCATGACGGCCGTTGCTGAAAAGCACTTGCAATCCAACCGTGGACAGACAGGAAACGATCGGCTCAAAGTATGTCAAGCCTGAAGACCAGGGCCTGGCCGGGAATGGCTGCCCATCTGGCAGCTCATGTGCGCTCGTCTCGCCTGGGAAGGCTCACAGTGGGGCCGCAGAGCAGCAGGGAGGAGCAAGAGGCTCTGGTGCAGGACAAGGGCGCTGCTCCTGCCCTCCCAGTGGCCTCCTGCTGCCGGTCCTCAGCCCCCCGCCAGTCCCCGACAAGCCATTAGAGATGAGGGGGCGCTGGGCAGGGAGGGGCAAAGCCCCAAGACAGGAGAGAGCACTGGCCCTCCGGTCCCAGCACCTGCACCCAGCACCACACAGCCTCAAGCCACGAGCCACCGTTGCCATGGCACCCTGGGACCCCAAGTGTGTCCACCTGCTGCCCCTGGTGCCCCTGCGAATCTGAACTTACTTGAAAACAGGGTGCTTGCAGAAGAAGGTAACCAGATCAGGTGGTATTAGATCGGGGTGGCCACCCAGCACCCCTCCATATCCAGCACCCCTCCCACACCCAGGAGTAAGTACCAAAACCTAGACTCCCACTCAGGACCTCCTCCGCCACAGTGCACCCCCCAAACAGCACCCCCTCCTCCAGCCGGCACCCCTGCCATCCAGAACATTCCATCTTATCACCGCGACACTGGGGACCTCAAGATGGATGTGCTGCCCCTCAGGAGTCCTCTGCACCCCAGGCAGCGCCCCAACTCCTGGGAACTCAGCTGCACCCTAGATAGAGATAGCCTGGCATTCAGCAGGAGAAAGGCTGGAGAAGCAGAACCCGGTCACCACATGGCCAACGAAGACAGCGCGAGTCAGTCCGACCGCAGGCCGGCCCGTCATCAGGCGTCCGCTGCAGGCCGC